TATGGCCGATCCAATCATAATTAAAGTGATGATAATATTAATGTATGATCTCATTGTGAGTTATGGATTGAAATTTTAATTGAAATACAATGTCTTTTTTAAATAACTTTGTATAAATTAAACATCCAAACTGGACAGTAAAATAATAGTGTCAAACCGAATCTTGCTAAAGTGGTTAAGGCACCTATATTACCCAAAAAAAAAAAAACAAAAATAGTATTGGTAAGCTTAACATATTTTGATATTTAAGTGAAACAAAAGATTTAGTTCAAGACTAACCCAAAAAAAAAAAAAAAATTGTGTAGAATGAAACTCACACCCCAAATCTCTTCTCTTATTTATAAAGAAAGTCTATTCGGGTTGTTTTGAGTGTACTGACTTGACCTAATCCGGTGAATCGGTTTAACCTGAGCAGTTAGATCCACGTCATGGGATAGAAAAAAACTAGAGAAATAGTAACCGAATAAAAAGATGAGAAAAGAAAAAGTTAATTTCAAAAGAAAGCAAAGTAATTAGGTGAAAATATGTTGATGGATTTAGGATTAAAACAGAAATAGAAGGACCCAATAACAAAGTTGTAATGATTACAAGAACAAAGTCATGCACGTTATAATTTCATTTTGCAATTATGTCAAACTTCAAATTACAAAAAAGCAAGTGAAATAATTAGGTACTTATTATAATAAAAATTGAAGTGGTTTTATTATTTTCCACTTTGGGACATAAATAAAACTCCATCATTTTTTCCCTTTTAATTTCTTCTCCTTACACTTTCAAAATTGCATTATTTTTAATCATTAAGATTCTTCTTTTTCTTGTGGCTCAACATGAAACACTCACATGGGATGACAACTTGGCCTTCAAGTGCAAAACTTGTAAGTATTATCCCATTTGGATTTCTTCAAATCCAATATTTTGTTATTTGTATATCAATTTAGGTGACCGTATACAACAACCCGACATTTGTTCAGTTACAATAAATAAAATATTTTGTGAAAAAGGATTTGAGTTTTATTATCTGGATAACATAAAAAGAATACGACGATGTCTATCGACCTGAATACGATATCAGCTTTAGTAAATATTAAAATTTCAAATTAAATACATATGATATGAAAGATAAGTTCATGTTAAGTGTTAACGTATACCCTTCACCCGAAGTTTTAAAATTGTGTCTTTTTTTTTTAGTACAATATGTTGGGGAGGGGATTTGAATTCACAACCTCTTGATTGGAGGTATATGCCAATTACCACTTAGCTATGTTCACTTGCTAAAATTCTGTCTATTGAATTATGTACCTAAATGAACTTTCAAATGTATGTCCGCTGAGCTATGCTCGCTTTGGCAAATATATGTCTATTTAATCGTTGTATACTTTAAAATCAACTTACTACATAATCTTTAAATGTTATAGTTATTATGTTACCTAATTGTTTAATTAATGGAGTTAACAATAAAGACTTACTAAACACAAAATTGAAAGTTCATTGAACTATTAAAAACTTTTTAAAGTGCAGTAATTGAATAGCAAAAATTTTAAAAGTTCAGAGACCTATTAAAATAAAAAAATTAGAGCCCGTTTAATAATATTCTTATTTTTCGTTTTTTTTAATATCTAAAAACATAACTTTGATCTGTTATTCTAAAAAGAAACAAGTGCATACTTATAAATATTTATTGGTTTCATTTTCTAAAATTTTAAATTAAAGGGAAAAAAGTAAATTTTGTTATATGAAAATTAATTTTTTAATGTTATATTATTATGTATTTTATAATTCAATAATACTTTTATTTATATTTTGGAAAAAAAAAACTACAAACAAAACAAAAAATTTGATTTTGTTTGTTTAAAAAAGTTTTGCATTTTTTCCTTGAAAATGTCTCTTAAAAGTGAGAACGAGACCTAGGAAGAGACACTAAAAATTTATATTTATAGAAAATGAAGATAAAAAAACCAGAACTGAAATAGAAAATCTACAAAATTGAAAATGTGAAATTTAAAATAAAAGAAGTTGAAAAAAAAAAGGATGTCGTTTTATGCGATCTTAATGGCAGGAACACGTCGGGTGGGAGGGTGGCCCTTCCATACTTTTTTACAATATAATTACCTAACTTTTTTAGAAATTATTGGGATTTTTTTTCTTTTTGAAATAAAATTATTGGGAATTGTCGGATCATTTTTCCTCATTCCGAATTATTTATAAGGTTTTCTATTTTCCCATTTTTTGACAAACATTATTTATAAGGTCAATTAAATGACAGCCGGCAATATATGAAATTCATTATCTTTATTTCATCTTCGGTTTAAATCTTATATTTTGTATACCTTTTTTCATGTTTATTTCATATTGATTTGTAGACTTTTAAACACTTCGGTCTAGATTATAAATTCTATATAAAAATTCATAAAATTCTCAAATTTTCATAAATTTGACGATAAATATTTGGAACCACGTAAAAAATTAGGTAAAGTTTTGAAATAGTTCAAATTTCTTAGAGGAACGATTGATGGTAAAATTAATGAAAATTAACTCAAATATTTATGTTATTTGAATGGTTGATGTCATGACCACACAATGACAATGACAACAAAACTCCATGCAAATACTTTTCAGTTTTCAAAGCCATGAACAGCCAATTTGATACTTTTAGGCAAGACATTGACCTCACAAGGTTAACAATTTATGCAATATCAAACTCCATCAAACTATGATTCATTCTAATTCTATCAATCATTCGTAGAATTCAAAAGAAATTTGATAAATCGTGTTTGATCAATAAAATGACCAAATCCACGAAGCTTGGCTCGGACTGAGATCTACTTGAGGGATGAACTGGATGGGTGACCTACAAAACAGAACACACTCTGATGCTAAAGTCAGTAGCTGGCCGAACTAAACTCGAGAGAGAATCTAGTATTCGCAAACCTGAAAATGGAGTGAATGAGATCTATTTATAGGCGACTTCTCCGACAGTACCTCAACGGCTCTTTAAGGTGGCTGTGAATTACGTTGTGTTATTATGGAGTTTGTCGGAGACTGGCGCCGAGCAAAGATGTCGCTAGTCACATCAGCGAATAATAAGGAGTATGTTTCCACAAACTTAGGTCGGTTCGGCCACGCAAGACATCAGCTCGGCTAAGGATCATATAGCCAAGATGATGAAACTTGAAGCATGTCCATGACTGTCATACGTCACACTTCTCTTCCAATCAACATGTGCCACTTTGTGGGCTGAATTCGCCACCAACAAATCGAAAACAGTTATGCTAGAAAATTTACAAATTAAACATATAATACATGCTTTGTTAACCGATGATATAGAGCTGATTAAATATAATTTGCAATTGGCAAAAAGAACACTTCGGTCATGGTCTCATGGACCAATATTAAGAATTTGTCTTTAAAATGATTATATTGGTATCCTTTGAAAAGTAGCAGAAAACTTTACTCATGCTAAGTTCTGTTAAATAGAAGAGTTAGCTCAATGTGGCAAATATTTGAATAAATTAATAAATATGTTCTTTTAATATTTCAATAATTTAAATAATAAAAAAATACTATGCCATCATTTTATTTTCAGTATAACATGGAAGTAGAAATTCTCTGGCTAAAGATAGATGTTCTAACTAATTGAACTATGTTTAGATTGGTTATGTCATTGTTTTGTTAATTATTGAAACGATGTTAAAAATGTAACTAAAACCTTTGTAATTTGAGATATTAAATATATATTAGGTTCAAATATGAATATTTATTTCATTTGATTTTTCGATATGCCTATTTTAGTTTTGGAATTTTAAAAGAAAAGAATAATTTTGGTTATTAATATTATTTTACCACGTAATATCTATCCACTTTTATACAGACTTATCTCACCATGTAAATATACATACTCAACCAATTATCTATCTATTAAGTAACTAAAAAAAATAGCAAAAGTTGTAGTTATTTCCTTATACAAATTCCTAAAATGAATTAAACTTGAAAATTTGAAATTTTAAAAATTTAAAGACTAAAACAAGTATTTAAAAGTTTAAGGATAAAGTAAAATAATGGTTAAATTATAAGTTTAGTTCTCGAACTATCACATTTGTGTCTAATAAAAGATATCTAAATATATCTATGAACTTTACATTTCTATTTAATAGATTCTAGAACTTTAAAGATTATTTAATAGGTATTTTAACTTTCAAATTTATATTTAAAAGGTTTATAATTTTCCATTGTGTCTAATAGGTGATTGACCTATTTGACGTTTTTTTTAATTATGAACTTATTAGGCACAAAATTAAGATTTCGAAGATCTATTAAATATACTTTAAAAGTTCAGAGACCTATTAGATACAAAATTAAATGATTAAGTACGTACTTAGACACTATAAAATGGTTTTGTTTTGTTTTTTATCTCTGTACTTTCAAAACCTCCATTTTAGTCCCTATATTGTTAATTTTAGTGGATGTAAAAAAGTAATCATTTTGATCTCTATTTACAAAGTTTTGACACAAATTTTTATAAACAATAGAGTCCTTTTAGTAAAACGAGATAAAATCTTTTACATGTATTTCATTTTTATCAAAATAAATAAAATAAAGATAAAAATAAAGATAGTAAAATTGTTCCTTAAATACAAATACTAAAATGAACATCTCGAACAAGTACATTGATCAAAATGAACAAAAGTTTCAAGTACATTGATCAAAATGAACAAAAGTTGGAAATCAAGGGATCAAAATGAACAAAAGTACAGCAATCAAAATGAATCAAAGTTGAAAGTATCTAGAGAGCGGGGTGGAGGTTGTAAGATATGATTGTTGTGTCATCAATTATCCTATTTCAGGTAAAATTAAGTGTCGTACAATCACTTTGTTAGCCTCATCAAAGTGCGATTATGACAGTAATATCGCAGTCATACTTATCAAAGATTTATCATCTAAATTTAAAAACGTACCAGACACAAACTCATGATTCGAGAGACTAAAACTCATAATATTTTTTAAAATGAAAAGTTGGAAGGTGCAAATCAAATTATTTGTAAACCAGCACTGTGGAATGTCCTTTCTAATGGATTCTATCTCCTCCACTTCTAAACCACACCATTCAGAAGAAACCCTAATCTCAAAATTCAACTCCGAATCTTCCACAGTTTTCCTAACCCTAATTTCCTCTTAATCCATGGCCATCGCTTCTCCATCTGCTCCAAATTTCTCTGCTTCGCCTTCTTTCCGCTGCTCCAGAACCGACGCCCCTTGCTTCGCTCCATTCCCCTTCGTTTCCCACCCTCGCCCTTCTTTTGCCCGTCGATTTTTCATCTCTTCCCGCCTCAATGCCTCAATCTTCTCCGGTGCCGGCGCCGGCTTCGGTTCTCCGGACAATGGGGACGTCCAGTACGAGCTCCAGCATGGGTTCTCTCTGGAGCGGCGGAAGAGAGGGTCTGCTGTGTTCGTTACGCTTCCTATCGACGCCGTGTCTCCGGCGGGTGAGGTGCGGAGGCGGAAGGCAATGTCGCAGTCGTTCAGGGCGCTTGCGGCGGCCGGAGTTGAAGGCGTGGTGATTGAAGTCTGGTGGGGTTTTGTGGAGAGGGATGAGCCTTGTAGTTATAATTGGAAAGGGTATTTGGAAATTGTGGCGTTGGCTCGTCGGTACGGTCTGAAAGTTCGCGCTGTGTTTTCGTTCAGTCAAAATGGCATCGGGCCGGACGATCCTCACTGGTTAGTCAGTTTAATTTCTCTATTTTAGTTCTCTCTTCTGTAATCAAGATGGTATTTGGAAATTGTGCTGTTGCTTCCATTTCTCGCATTAACATTTCCGTGTAGCATAGCATCACTGTAGGGATGTAAGTTTCTTTCGGATTGAGTTCCTCCATAGGTATGTACTTGTATTCTCTAGATTTTGTGTTTCGCTCTTTTTCTTCTCTCTCTCTCTCTCTAGCCTCTCGGATGGGGGAGGAGAGGAGAGGGGGCAAGGGGGACAGATTTCGATAATCTTTTAATAAACAAATCAGGAATAAGAACGTACTAATGTGCTTAGAAGCTACGAGTTATATGGTTAACTAAAATGAGTGTTTAACTTCATAACAGATGTGCAATAGTCTTCGCAGCATTAATAATCAGCATGAAGAGAATTAGTGGAAAATAGCTCATTCTCTATTTGCTACTAGCCTCAACCCTTAACCTCCCTCTTCCTTCTTGTCTCTCATTTTATATGTCTAGCTCCTCTTTCACTGGCGCCTTGTGCTTCTAACTCTCTACAAAGATTGAATGGAAATCCTTATCCATTGAGGTCCATGTAAGTCAAGTCATGGAGGAAGCAAAGCAAGAATTGTTGGATACAGTGGAGGTAACACAATACTCCATTTTTGTACGTTGGAACTTTTAACCCTTCCAACCACTACCCTCACCCCTTTCAATCAAAAGTTCAAAATTTATGTTTTATGGATTGAGAAAATCACTAATAGGAGGGGATCACTTGTAGAAGTTGGAAAAGTATGAAGGACTTGGCTGCTCAAATTGCCCTTTTATCCTGATTGGTGAGAATAAATATGGCTGGTACTTTTTTTCTTTTTTGTCAAGATCCTCCTTCGGAAGAGAGATTGAAGCACTTTCACCCTCCACCTTTTGTCCCCTACAAAAGCCTTAGAAAGTAACTTCTCCTTTGCTCTGTGCAGTACCATGTCAAAAGAGTTGTGACTTGTGAGTGATATTTGGGAAGAAATGTAAAATAATGGAATATAATGGCATAGGACAACTCAGCAAACTTTTTGCTGACACTGGGGAGAATACAACCCAGGGCAGGGGAGGATTAAAAAGGTCTGGTAGTTTCTCATTGAAGTCTCTTCTCGCTATCTTCTGCTGTAAATGTCGCACTATGGGCAGAAGTTTCCAAAGAAATTAGAAGTCCTTATTCGGATTCTAATGCCATGGAGGTGTTAACTTGACAGAGTAAAGCCACATATTTTGGGAATTGAGACAAGCTGGTATGTCTTGTGCAAGGAAGTGGAGGAGGATCAAAGCCACCTATCTTTACGATGCCCTTATTATAGACGCTGCTGGAATTTTTTCTTTCATATATTTGGGGACTCATGGGTAATGGATATGGATCTTGATCTCAGCATATGTCGGAGAGTATTGGAAAAGAAAGCAATAGTTAAAAATTTTATCGTAAAAGATTTATGTGGTTTATTTACAGCGTGCCCTTGTTGGATTTCATTTTGACCTATTCCTGCCTACTGAAATTAAGAAAATGCTAGTGTGTGAATTTCATACACTATTTATTGTGGTCAGTCACTTGTTCAAGTGCTAGTTTATGTGAAATGAAAACTTGTTATTGTAATAATTTATATGAATAAGAGTTGTCTGGCGAGAGAAGTGAAATACTTTAATTTACATAGAACTTTAATTATTCTAGAGTATTGGTTTCTGTGTTATTGAATCTAAATTCTCTCCTTTATTTCCCCTTTGTTTCCCCAATAAAACATTAAGGATTCCCCTCCCTAAATGGGTACTTGAAGAGATTAATAAAGATCCCGATTTAGCATATTCTGACAGATTTGGAAGGAGAAATGCGGAATATATTACTCTTGGATGCGACACTCTTCCTGTTTTGCTGGGACGATCGCCAGTCCAAGCATATGCAGATTTTATGAGAAATTTCAGAGACATTTTTAGACCTTATCTTGGAGCAATTGTAACGGTAAACTGGTGGCTTATTTATGCATATCGATTTTTGATTTCCTGTTTCTGAATTTGATGTTTACTTCCATATCTTGATATTCATCTTGCAGGGAATTCAAGTTGGGATGGGCCCGGCTGGTGAACTTAGATATCCTTCATCCCCATTGCAGAAGTTAACAGGGGCACGGCGCTCTCATGAACTTGGAGAATTTCAGTGTTATGATAAGGTAGGAACGGAGCTTCTTCAACCTTTCTTTTGATTATGAGATTCTAATCTATATCCTAGATGGTGGTTCTATTCTTCTGATTGCCTTTCTGGAACTTGTTCTTATTTTGCAATACCCATATTGATTTGATTTCTATTCTTACTGCTCTGAGCAGTACATGCTTGCATCTCTGAATGCTTGTGCTCAAGATGTTGGCATGCGTGAATGGGGAAATGGAGGTCCTACTGGTGCTAGTAACTTGATGAACAACCCCGAACAAACGGAGTTTTTCAGAGGTGAAAACGGTTCATGGAATACACCTTATGGGGAATTTTATCTCAAATGGTACTCAGAAATGCTTCTACTACATGGGGAGAGACTATGTAAGGAAGCTGAAACCATTTTCCGAGGTATTGAAGTAAATTTATCAGCCAAATTAGGTGGGATTCACTGGCATTACGGAACAAAATCTCACCCATCAGAGTTAACTGCTGGGTACTATAATACTTCAATCCGAGATGGATATCTCCCAATTGCTCGCATGCTTGGTAGGTACAGCTTCACAATGTGTTGTTCATGCTTCGAAATGCAAGATTTCGAAGAAAAGCAGATGAACCCAGTTGGTAGCCCAGAAGGGTTTCTTCGGCAGCTGCTGATAGCTGCCCGGGTGTGCGACATACCTCTGGAAGGCGAGAACTCGGTGATGGGGTTGGACAACAACTCGTTTCAACAGGCTGTGAAGATGTCAAGGGTTTACTCGGATGGGTTGGAGAAGCTCTCTTTTTCCTTCAATTTTGTGAGGATGGACAAAAACATGTTCGAGTATGGTAACTGGGTTCGATTTACTCGTTTCGTGAGGCAGATGTCTGATACCTCCAATCTTTTTCGGGCCAAGCTAAATCCTGGAAGCAATAGAAACCTCTCTTCTGCATCTGATATTACTACGTCGAGATTGGCTCTTGCATATCACTGATGATAACGTCACGTAAACACATTATCCACTCAATACTTAAGTGCATGTATAAAGTATGATATAGACTACTGGCCAGTTATATAAATATATAAATAGATATAGCAATGCCACTGTTAGCAGCCTGTCTAAATCCAAGCTGATAAAAGTGGTCTTATTTACTTCTATATATGATTTGTGAGAACATTTACACAAAAAGAGGTAATAAAATTCTTTGGTATTGATTGCGCAAATAGTAGCATTTAAATGCACGTCTGCAAGTCTCTCAAATTGCTTTTGGCAGCATATTACATCACCGAATAATACTGAGTCGATTATAATTTGTATCCTTACTAAGATGGTCTGACAGTAAAGAAGCCAAACCAAGCACTGGGCACAATGAGGTTATAAACAGATGGAAAAAGGAACACATGCAAAAGCTCTATCGACCACGTCCTGGTAAGCATAAGCATCGTCCTCGATCTAATCCCTCATATTCCTTATGGGGATGAAGGATAAATTTTTGCAGGACAGAACAAAAAAATGCCTCAAATGACATTTGCCCATCACCAACTTTGGAGAAGAGAGACGCCATGTGAGGATTCTGAATCATTGAAAAAATTACCATTCCTCAACAGGTTTCATCAATGATGGATGGGTTGTGACCATAGCCAAACATGGATGCAAATTTCAGACACTTTCATTAAATGATTGTATTAAGTGAAAAGTTAAAACCTTTTTTTGCAAAGTGAAGTGAAAATTACCAATTCTTCACTATTCAGGAGCACACTGAGGGTAAGGGAGAATAATTATCACCACTCCGCTCTGAGAACTCCGATGATTTCTTCTTATACGCTCTGGCACATACGCGACTCATTCGTGCAAAGGAATTGTACAGATAATTTCACAAGGCAGTATCTACAATACTTTCGTCCTAAACTCTGAAAGATACATGTCATCCATCAGAAAGTAATAACTTGCATAATCCGTAATATCATCTTATTCAACAAGAATCAAATCCTAATCCTACCAGCAATTAGCCACACAAATCGACTAAAATAATGGTTAGGCAATAGCTAGGGATACACTGAAACAAGTTAGAAATCTTAAAGTTAAAATATAGTATTGGTGCCTGAACTATTTTAGTTTGGTTGCCAAAGTAATAGTGTTCATATTACGGCTTCGTGGTGGTGTTATAGGAACAAGAAATTCTTTTGTAATTACAACCTCTCTCAAATCACTCAAGATTGGAGAGCTCTACTCTATTAGTGTTTTTTCTGGAGAGGGACCTCTCGTCCCTTGTCCTTAGGCTGTTTTTTATTTTTTGTTGTTCATTTTCAATGAAAAGTTTGTTTCTTATCCAAAAAAGTTTGGTGGCCAAAGTTTCAAAAATTCTATTTTAGTCTCTTAGATTATAACATCTTTCAAATTCAATCATCTTCATTAAAATTTGAGTAAATAAATCAACGAAAAACGACATGGTATATTTTAATGATGAATAATTTTTTCGAAACAAAAACCCGAACCTTGATCAATAGGTTCTTGACTCAGATTACAACATGAACATATATTACATCACTAGTAAAAAAATGTGGGACATGAAGGGTAAAGGCTTAGTTTAAACGTTAGATGGTAAGGAAAGAATAATATCTGGAATATTATATGAAAATCATGCCAAAAACAATTTAGAAGGGTAGATCATTTTTGCTTGATCACATTAATTTTGCTTATTACATTTAGCACCAATATAGCAATTTCCCTCTGATTCATGGCAGAAAAAAAGGAAAGGAAAAAACTCAAAACATTATGCTGCACTCCTCCATTGGATTCTCATCTCTCATCATTGACATTGCAAGTTAAACCACTAACTTTCACATACAACACAAGTTGCTCAACAAAATGTAAAAAGATTACAGAAAGAAACATTTCAACAATCAAAGTAAGAGATAGGCTAACTTGGTATGCATAAGATATGTGAGCAGAAGTACCTGGTAAATACCATAGTAACCATTAAAACAGGTCCAGCACCATCTCGGCCATAAAGAATCAATATCCCAAGTAGCTTGGATCACCAATATACTCGGCAATCTGTTCTAAGCGCACGTTGAGTAACTCGTGGCTATCCGCATCCCGAACAACCCCGGTCTCTTTGTCAAGATCCCTGTCAACTAGACTCCCATAAACTCCTTTGTGCTTACCATACAGAACAAGAACAGGTCCCCCACGTCTGGGAAGTGCTGTCTCGAGAAGATCTTGAGAGACCCCTTGGACAAGCTCTCTACTCCCATCAATGGATACATCACAGATACTGGGTCCAACTACGTCTACTATCTCCCCCTTTTTCAGATAAAACTTTCCTCCCTTAAAATCTTTGCTGATGATTCTAACGCGAATATGACTCGTGAGCCACGACAATCTACTGCTTTTCTTCTCTTCGTCCCTTGGTCTACTTTCACGCTTTTCCACCACTCGTTCATCTTCTCTTCTCCGTCTCCGTCCTTTGTTTTCATCCTGAATTTTCAATTCCTTCAGTTTCTTTAAGAACCTTTCCTCTTCTTTGGAACCCAATTCGGCAACATCAGTTGCACGTACTTTCACTTTCGTCTGTTCTTCGCTTTTAGAAAGCTTCAGAACAAGCCAATCGAGATCTAATTTCTCCACAATTCTACCTTTCAAACCTGCATCTCTTCCGCCAACAATCCTAACATGTTTCCCAATAGCTAGTCCATCTCTTTCTCGATCTCGATCTCTGTTTTCCTTGACTCTACCTTCGTCCTTGTTTCTCTCAATGTCCCTCCCATTTTCTTTCTCTTCCACATTTTTTGAAAGGCCAACGGGCACGTTGCTGACGAACCCGAGCCCTTGCTTGTCTGTTCTTCTGTTGTACTCCACGACTTTCACATCCTCTTTGGCATTCCTCCCGATTCCTCGACCCTTACGCCAGCCATAGCCTTCCATCAAAGCAGCAGCAAAGCTTTCCACGGGAACTTCCTCAAAGTCCTCGAACCCTCTATCCTCGGGCAGCCTCTTCAAATCCGCTTTAAATTTTTCCAGCATAACGACCTCTAAAGGAGCAGGTCGCGGCGGCTCCTCCCCAGATTTCAACTCATCCGGACCCTTAACACCTTCAACAGAATGCCTAACATTGAGACCGAAAGACATGTTCGAATCATCGGGCGGATCTAATCCAGAGACGGACTCGAACTTCAGATCAGACTCGTCCGACTGACCAAGCGGAACTTCGAGATTCTTCATCCTCTTCAGCGGCCGCCATTCGTTCTGGAGGGTGGGAATGACCAAATTTTTGGACCTGCTTTCAGCCAAGGGTTTGGAAGCATCGAATTCGTGAACGTACTCCTTCGAATCCCCTAAACCCTCGCGATCTAGGGTTTTGTCCTGGAACCCCTTTAGATTTGGCTTGGAAGAAGAAGAGGACTTGGAAGGCAGAGAGAACGATAACTTCATGGCGGAATTCCGATCGGTGGAATTTGGAATTGGAATTTTCAATTAATGATTGTTCACCTTGTTGCGGCTGCCGGCACGGCGCGGCAAGTCAGTCGGAGCGGAGACTTGGAGGAGATCGCGGGAGGGAGACGGAGGGAGATGGAGGTCGACGGCGGAGACTGACCCGATAAGGGAAGGGTTCTGACCTTGCGCAGCAGCTCTGAATCTGTTCACTTCGATTGGCGGGCGGCGTGGAGTAATGGTTATGGCCGATGGGCAACGGTGCGTTTTTTTTTAGGAAATTAAATTTCAATTAAAAAATTATTTAATGTGTTTAATATATTTGTAAATTAGCTGCACTTATCAACTAATATTTCTAACTCATTTATTACGTAAAAAAAATTTAATTTATTAACCTATGTGTATAAATTTGGTATAATCATTATTTTACAATATTATAATCTATTCTATTTTGAGAATTTGAGCATAAAGACATTTATATCAATTAATAAATTGCGAGTCCAACCTACGTATTTTTTATTAGAAAAATCTATTATGTTTTATATATTTTAATTTTAGAAAAATGGAATGAGTTTCTAATATAAAATAGTATATATATATCTATAAATATATAAATTTATCTCTTTTACATGATTTTGTTATTTTTAAAATTTTTCACAAAATCCAAAAAACTATCTTTACATTGCATACCAAACAATAAAAAAAAAATTTCTTTGGTCCCCCTTTTACACAAACTTTAAACACTGGAAAGAGAGATATTCATTGTAAACACAAACTTTAAACATGGCAAAAAAATGTATTCGTTGGCCTACATGAACTTACAGTGGTAATTGATACATATCTCTTATCAAAAGGTCATTAATTTGAATCACTTGTTGTACTAAAAAAATGTATTCTGGATTATTCTTCAAAAAGCCCAAAAACCATGACTCCTTTTATCGTGGTGGCATATAAACCGCAAGAAATTTTATTGTAAGCTATGATCATTAATGATTGGAAAACTCCCATCGTTTAGTGCCACTATCTCCTCTTTTTGTGATTAATACATTTCCGTTTCCTATATTATTATAAAAAAATATATCAGCATTTTGATATACAGTCCCGAGTCTCTAGAATTGGATTTCGCAATTCCATTCTTATGCAATCCAAACACATCTTAGCCTACCAATCTTTTATTCATTCTGAAACTTCATTGTCAATGTCATGTACTAAACATCATTTTTATGCATTCAAATCCAAATAAGATTATTCTCCACCTTTCCATTCCAAAAGTAAAACAAACTCTTGGAGAATAAATAATTCAAGGGAAAATTAAGTATACATCAAATTCTCAAAATTTAAACCCAGATCAAGACATGGGCAATTGAAGTTCTGCTCTATCAGTAATGAAGAATCCCCTTGGAATCCATCAAAATAGGAAACAACCAAAAACCATATGCCTTTAATCACAGCAGCCTCAAATAGGAAACTACAAACCAGTAGATTTGTGATCCTGACGCCAAAATCGGTAATATGAAGAAGACAAGTGCATACGTTGCCAAGTCTCAATTGAACTCATTAGGATTCCTCGTCGCTGCTCTCAATAATGACATGAGAGTTGATGGTTTTTGGTCTCTTTGCAGTCCTAGTTTCATCTTCTAGTTCTTGCTCTTCTTGTGAAGAAGCATTCTGGCTTTGAGCAATGGACCACTTTTCTACTTCCTCGAGAATTCTTTTTCCATACTTCTCTGCCTTCACTTTTCCAATCATCGTTTCCAACTGCAAAAAAATGTTACCGTTTTCAGAATTTTGGATTGGTGAACGACATAAGCAGCCTTTGGTATGTTGAGGAAATTACTTGAAGTTTGAACATCCTAAACTCAGAAAAACATCTCCTATAGCTGGAATTTACGATTGAGGAGAAATTTAAAGGATGCTGAAATTATAGAATATGGGCAGCCCTCTTCACACAAGCTCTCCACTGTTAAGTTATCTACAGAGGCAAACTCACTATCATGGAAATTATAAACAAATGGCATATACTCTACTCACTCTCTTATTAAAGATCTCTCACAGCCTTGCACGAATACCCCGCAGCAATTGTATGAGGGCATTTGGAGACTCATATCCAAAAAACAGTGAAAATTTTCCTTTGGGAGCTTACAATTGTATGAGGGCATTTGGAGAGACTCATATCCAAAAAACAGTGAAAATTTTTCTTTGGGAGCTTAGCCATCGTGCAATCAACACCGGTGATAAGCTTCAAAGGAGAATGCCCTACATGGCTCTCTCTCCCCAGTGGTGTGTGATGTGTCATTCCAACCATGAGACCCAACAACACCTCTTTATCAATTGCCATTTTGCAACAAAATTTTTGGAACTACATCCTTAGCACTTTTGAGTGGACCACTGCATTGCCGACCGATCCTCCTCTCCTTCTCAAAGTTACCCTTACAGGCCACCCCTTTAGAAAGGAAAAGGCAATTCTTTGACAAAACTTCATGCGAGCTTTCTTTTGGAATCTTTGGAGAGAACGAAACCAACGCATCTTCACTGATAAAACTCTACCCTTTGATACTTTTTTGGAAGCTATAGTGTTTTCAGTCATAACTTGGTGTAAATCCTCCCCTATGTTTCACTACTATAGCTACACTTCCCTCTTAGCAAATTGGGAGTGATTCATGTAATCACTCAGTATGAGGCTTTTGTAATTTCATACATCAATGAAATTGTTTCTTTCACAGGAGGAAAAAAAAAACAAAACAAAACAAAAAAAGAAAAGCATCTCCTATATACTTTCAAGTAAACATGAGCTGATTTCAGCCTGATGGAGATTTTTTGCAACCCTAGATACTTGGATGTCCTTTGATAACCATTTCATTTTTATTTTTCTCCCATTAAAAATTTTGCTACTTCCTGGTAAAAAGTGGCATTAAGAAGACTTACCTCATCCAAGGAAGTGGGCTTTTGGTCACTTAATACGCCGATTTGCTGAGTAGAGAGCACTGAATGAGGGAATATGCCTCCGCCAGCAGAAGCAAGTTCCTTGCGTAACTCGTCAAGCTTGTACTCTAAACCTGATGAAGCAATACCTTTTCTTCTAGATTTAACACCAGTTACCTTTTGTTTGCTGGAAATCTCAAGTTTCACAGCCTTCTTCCCTGTATGCAAAACGATATCAGTAAAGCCAAATTTCAGCTTTTGATTTGGTCATTGAACTAGCGAGGCAAAACTTCTTTTTAGGATTAAGATAGAGAAGCTGTTTAGGAATTAAAATACAGTGGCCTTCTTTAATTTTTGTTTGTTGAAAGAATGTAAAATCTATGAAATTCATCCTACTTTTGGCTCTAGAGTAATAACAAGGGAAAATAAGCCATTTTCTTTTCAGCGTTCTTATATGGCCCCCATTTGTTCCAATTGGTATCTCATGTTGTGTGGAAGAGTCGGTGGTCTTTTAGGGCTTTTTTCCTTGTCTCCACTCTTATGTTCACTCTTCGTTTTTTATTAGAACGATTTTTAATTTGAAAATGGTAAACGTAGACCCTATTTGATAACCATTTCGTTTTTTGTTTTTTGTCTTTGAACATGAGGTTATAAACACTACTTCATCGGTGTATTTTTTTTATTTTGCTATCCACTTTTGAAAACATTTTCAGAATACAAGTCAAATTTTGAAAACCAAAAGAAAAGTAGTTTTCAAAAACTTATTTTTGTTTTTGGAATTCGGCTAAGAATGCAAATGTATTTTAAACAAATGTGAAACCATACTAAGGAAACTGTAAGCAAATAAACATAATTTTTAAAAATAGAAAATAAAAAACGAAATTATTACCAAACAAGGTCATAGTGTTTTTTTTTAATGTGTAAAATCACTAATTGAGAGCTAGCCTACAATGTATAAATTAGAACTTTGTCCTTATCTTAGTAGTTTAGATTGTTCGAATTTCCAAAACGAAAGAAATGAGAATATCCTTCCTTGCTTATGTCTATAATATTGCCATGAAGGGATAATATCACAAAATAAAGAGGCATTTACATAAATAGTTTAAATAAATATGTATTTTTAAATATAGTAAAAATTTTAAAGTTTTACAAAAATAATGTAATCTATATTAAACTCAAACTCAAGTGCAATCAAGAAAAGTAATCTATATATGAAAAAAAAATAATTTGAAAAGTTGTAAATTTTTTAGCACATATTAAATTTATGCTATAGAGTTAAATTTTTTTGAAAAATATTTGTTTTTCTCAAAATATGCAGAAAATCAGCTTTGAAAGAAACATCCTGACCTTGCAATACTTGCCTGGACAATGGCCCAACAGTAACATACGCATTTGTAGCATAAGCTGTATGCTGAAATTCTTCTTTCTGAATCAACAGAAAAATATTTCGAAGTCATAAACATATCATAGGAGATAAAATATAGCAGCATAAAAGAGCAAAAAGGAAAAATTAACTACATGTCATAGTAATTAACAGACAAATAGAAGAAAAATTTTTGATAAAAGAAGAGAGAAGTTTGTACTTCCTCTAATGGTATCAGGTATGGTGATCTGATCTTTTTGTTTTTTATACCCATAAGTGTTTGGACCACCATCTTACACACATCTCAAATAATCTCATGGGGTAACCGCAAAACCATACAACATAAGATTGTCCAAAAATACGAAAATTTTATCCTAGGTACGTAACCACCATGAGATTTAAACCATTGTCCCCATAGTCCCCACGTCTTTTAGTTTTTTCCTTGTCCCAATGTCCCCGGGTCAACCCAGGGTGGTTGATGTTCTGGTGGTCTTGATTGAATGTTGGCTGAGAAGCGTTTGAAATTAATCCCAAGGAATAATAGAATGTTTCATTCTGTGATTATTTCATTCTGCTTTATGGGGACCCCAAGAAACGGTTTAGAGCACAAGTAGTTTGTATAGCTATATAATTCTATAACCAATATTAATTAAATGAATACAGAAGGAAGGTCTCCAACCCCAAACAGAAGATAAAGAGATTACAATAATACTCCCCAGTTTCTCTCAATTAGGAAAAGACCACAGAAAAATCTTTTCTTTGAGACAACCTCAAGGAAGCAACAAAATGTATTATAGCAAGTTACATAAAGAGAGAAAATTCGTTACCAAAACACGATCTAATAACAGTTGTATGATAAGTTGCTCTATTTCCTCCCTCCTCAGGTCAGAAACTGAAATTATAAAACACAAAGTTAAGACATCAATAATGCAGTTCTGCAAACTGCATTGCCAAGCTAGACAAAAAAAAAATCTATCAAACAAGATATAAGTTATAACTTAAGTATTAAAGAACGACAGTGAACTCAAATGCACGTGATAAAAGGGGGAAGAGAAGGAGGGAGCAGCTCTACTACTTTGATGCTAAAACTGACAAGTAATCAAAGGTCTAAAAACATCTAGTTAAGTAGTATTTCTAAAGTGATGCCTTTCAACTACTTGCTGCAATTTATTTATTTGATACTTGAATCTTCATCATGTAAGGTAGATCATCTTCTATTTATGTCTAAACTAAAAGATTAGGTTTATCTTCTAAGATCTGCTTCCTTTGGTTGTAAATCAAGGATAGGTTTGCCAGAAATTTAATGTAAAAAAGTTTGAACTTTTCTCTTCCATTAATAATTCTATCAAACACCTAGGAGAAAGAATCTGGATGATCACCCTAAAGCACTACATCATACCAGTGACAAAGCAACCACACAAACTTGTAAGTTTGGCAAGTGGAGCTCATACTTGCAAATCTTGTTTTAATGCTCTTGACCCTACCATGGAAGAATGTTCAATAACTATAGTTTGGAAGGCCAAAGTGTTTGATTAAAGAGCTTTCTTCTATGATGAACTTTAATCTCATCTGCCTCGCATCTTGTGCTTCTCTACTTCTCTTTTGATGATATATTCTTTGTTTCTTATTAATGAAAAAATATAACATCAGGCATATCAATAAAATTCATTTTCCTACATAATGTCACCTCTCTCTCGGCTAGGTAATGATGCTTATTAGGAGTAACTCAAGCATGTGAGAATTCCAAAACAGTAAGATAGTTTCCATTCTAAAACTATATAAAACCATCTGAGATAGAAATCAATCATATATTCATCCTTAGAAAACTTGGGACAGTGAATACTATAATAAACCAGCAAACCAACCTAGTTCGTTGTGTTTTACTTTCAATTTGTCAACCAATTGCAACATTGTCATCCTCTGATTGCTGTTCTGTACATCTTGTAATATTGAAATAATAACTCTAGCATGACCTATTAAAAAGACAAGCATAGGACATTAAATTAAAATAATTGAGCCTTACATCCTTAAGAAAATAAGAGAAAGATTAATACCCTACAATTGAGGATAACATGTACTAACAAAAGTAATCCAGTTTGAATCACATGCAGTAAGATATTTAAGATTTTTAATAAAAATAATAGAGAAAGAGGGAATCTGCAAAGAGCATACAAGTGGTCAGGGATGACCGTTTTTACTTGAAGTAAACAGCATCAGAAACAAAAGTTAAAGGAACATACTACAAATATCGACTTCCTTCACCTCGCTGGAGACTGCACACGTATCACACATCCCTGAAGAAATATAAATTTATGATTATTTTACCAGAAAGAAAAATAGAAAGTGTGGCTCCAAGACAGCACCCAAAAAAAAGTACCATTGCAGTCTTTTAATGGCTCGGCAAAATGCTGGAAAAAGGCACTACGGCGACATTGTTTTTTGGACTGCAATAATTAGAACGGGAATAAGAACTCATATTGACAGAAAAGAAGAGTAAGAAAACAACAAAATCGTAAAGCATTCTCTTAAAGAATGCAACGAATTAGAAAAAATACCAACTCAACTGTCAGCAAACACAAGTAAAAAAATGGAATGATGTCTAGTATCAAGAGCACAACAAAAGCTAAAATTTCTATCTTATCTGAATTAGATTGAAATCTCCATAAATATCTTGCATATTCCTCTTCCTTTTGTACTTCTCTCTATGTTCAAACAAATAGATTTAAAAAGAAAAAAGAGAAGGAAAAAAAGTAAAACAATTAAAAGAAAAATTTAATTAAAAACCCAGCTACAGAACTTTTCTTTTTTTTATAGGAAACAAAAGTAGTATATTGATAGAATAGAAGTAGTATATTGATAGAAGGTTACAGCCTAAAAGGCTGGGGGATGAGAAGGCCCTCACCAAGCAAAAGACTAAAAAAGGACAACCTTCCAATTCTGTATAAGCATCGTAAGACTAGGGGTGTTTAAAAACCCCGACGAATCCAACCCAACCAGGTTGGGTCAGGTCTCAGGTTGGCCCTTGAAAAAGTCGGATGACCCGACCCGACCTGACATATTGTTATTTATTTATTTATTTATATATATACATACATATAATAAATAAATAATTATTATTAATTAATACCTTTACTTTTTATGTTCAATCTCAACTGTCTGTTGAGATTTAATCTCAACCATCCATTTATCATTTAGGTTTCACTTCCTTACCTCATTTTTTAATCTCCTCTCTAATCTCTTCATCTCCTCCATTGTTACCCAACACCAAACCCTCTCCATTTTTGTCCACCCAACCAAGCTTGAAGCTCTCACTATCTCCTCCCGCTGCCGCCACCTCCCGCTGCACCATCTCCTCCTGCCACCGCCGCCCGTTTTTGAAGTGGAAAGACAACCCGACCCAACCCGAAATTTTTGGGTTGGGTTGGCCATCATTTTTCAACCCGCCAGTTCCCACGCATGGCCAACCCGAAAATTCGGGTTGGTCCCAAAAACACCACTAACCCGATCCAACCCACCCCATGAACACCCCTACGTAAGACTAATTACAAAAAAAAGGTATTGTGATTTAAACACCACATAGAAGCGGTAATTTGTACACAATTATAAAGATAATCAAAAGAACGGGAGGAGCTACAGAACTTAAAACACCTATGCAATTATATAATTTGTTCATTAAAAAATATATATATGTATTTTAAAGAGGTACTCTCAAACACATTTTAATTAAATTGTAGAGATAATACCTGACAATATTGAACAATACCATAGAGATTCTCCAATCCGGAATTCTCATAAAATACCATTGAACTCTGCAAAGGAGGACAGTATAGATTGATAAATCTACAAGAAGTTGAATAGGACACAAGCTCATGCCAATGCCTCAAAAACTACTTACTTGTCTTGGAACATCACCAGGCCTATAGTAAAGTAGGCATTCGGATGGAAGCCCATCCCGTCCAGCACGACCACTTTCCTGCAGCATGAGATGAGAAGTTACAAAGAGAGCATTGAATGTGACGTATGTTTAGTGAGAGAATGACCTGATAGTATGTTTCCATTGATTTGCTCAGACTGTGATGAATGACAAACCTAACTAGAAGCATTGAATGCGATGCATGTTTAGTAAGAGAAGGACCTGATAGTATGTTTCCATTGATTTGCTGAGACTGTGATGAACGACAAACCTAACTAGAAGCAGTAACAGAGAATTAGATTTCAAAATATATATTTAATGTTCAGACTTTACGAGTCAGATATAATTTAGCATAAAAGAACTACTGTATTCTAAATTATCTTTTATTAAAATAAAAAATTTAAAAAAAAAAAAAGTAAACCCCCCCCCCCCCCGAGTAACCTTCCTGTTCACCCATTTTATCCCTTCCATTCATCTCTCTGTTTGCCACATCTTTCATTTATTCATAAGTAGCAGTAAATAGATTTCATCCTTTTTTTCCCCAACTTTTTCAAGACATGCAACATGAGACATAATCCAATTGCATAGTGTTACCGTATTTTTTGCTAATTTCAACAAAGTAACCAAATAAATATTATCACGTGGAGGAGATCAAAAAAAATAAAAGACAGGCCACAATCAAACTCAAAAATCACAATCTAGCATTATTTTAAAAAAATTGTTGGCTGAAAAAATAACGGAACAAGCAATGTAATATTGACAAAGCAATAACTTTGCGAAGAAACTGACCATCTGGTTTGTTGATTCCCATACCAAAGGCTACCTGAAATGCCAAAGCACTTCAATTAGACCAGTTAACCAACGCCTTTACGTATCAAGATGCTAGAAAATTCTCGATTATTACACAGATGCTTCTGATAAAAAAAAAAAGAAGACGATGCTAGAAAATGAAAATTTGCTGCAAGGTTGAATGTTCATTCTATATAATGTATAATCTCGATGGGTTGCCGAAACTGAGGAGTTCAAGAAATTTACTTCTTTTTTTTTTATGTTGTGCTCTGCAGCCGTTTCTTACCATTGAGATTTGGGACATTTGGTATGCAATATTGAAGTGAGGGAGAATGGGTTTCAAAAATCTATTTTACTAACTATTGGACATTGGCATCCTAAACCCACTAGAAATAATTGATATAGAATTTAATTACTCAATTTAGCTTCCTTAATTTTAATTATTTACATATTAATAAAACAAAATTTATTTTTAAATTTTATTTAACTTCATATGTTTAATAAAATTATTTCAAAATATATGTAGAGGGAGGGAGGAAGGAAATTTTCAATTATACATACCGTGCCGACGATAACCTGCAATCTAGAATTGCTCCACCTGTGATAGAAAACATTCACAAGCGATTAGTGATATGTTATTTCGTTATAGATTAGGCCATCCAAATCCATATCGTACAGGGCAGTGATGTAATGTTATTCAGATAGTAATGATTGGCCATGTGTGACACCTTGGTTTTATATTATTAAAGATGTCTCGCCTTGGTAAGCCAATGTGCTTTCTCCCAAATTACCATATTACAAAATACAGCTTCATAATCATAACCCAGCAAGCAGAAAGACTTTACCGCATATGAACTTTCTCACGTGCAACAGAATCCATATCAGCATGATAATAGTCGGCAGCAATACCCCTCGCACATAACTCCTTTGCAACCTATAATTCTTGAAGAAATAAGGAAACACAAGCTTCTAATGTCATGTATGAAAAAAAAATCCCACGTTATAATTAGATAAGCCAGATAATGCACAAGGCAAAAATAAGCAAACGTGAAAGTATGAATGCAAAGGCATAACTATTATCACAACTACAGTCGAATCACAAGCCCTCACGAAAAAATAGTTGCAGTTGTATGACATAAAACAATTCGCAAATCTGTTTTTAAACTATTTCTTACAGGAAATTAATTAAACTGTCCGTGGATTATACTAAAGGGACAAAAGATTGTGGGAAAAACCCCAAAAGACCTGGAGCTTGCAAAAAAGTGCTCCAATTAGACTTCATCAAGAAATAATTGCAGTTACAGAATAATCTAGAAAGGATACAGCAAAATGCAATAAATTTATGGCTTTTTTTAGAGCAGCCAAAATTTTTTGCCTTTTATCTAAAAATGGAAAATACAAGAAAATTATGGTTGCTAAAGATACCTATATTCTTTATTGAAAAGAATAATAGTTATCAAATTGGCCTGACCTATTTCCTAAATTTCAATGTATCATTGTAGATTCTTTGGTTCCATTGAAACCATATCTCCCAAGATATTGAAGCGATCCACTCCAGCTCTTTTCTGGGTCACTACCGAAGAGTTTCATTCTTCAATTGATGAAGTTTTATCTCCATATTTAGCAGACAGCTCCTTAAATATTTTTTATATTTCTTAGGGTGTAAATACTGGATTATTTCCTTACAGGTTGACTGCCTATAGATTGCTTTAAATCAATCAGATTTTTTTTTTATAAGAAACAATTCATTTAAAAGGAGACAAAACAACGGCCTAATGACAAAGGCCCCTTCCTAAAAAACTAACACCTCCAATCTTGCAAGATCAAAGAGAGTCTGTAATTACAAAAGAATTTCGTATTCCTAAGATACTGTAAGGATCCCAAATACAAGAATGTAACTAGATAACTATATTGCAATCTCAAACAGAAACTACAATATCAATAGCCTTTCGAGAGGGCTATCTCTCTCCCAAGAACTCTCCCAAGTTCCTCACCGTAAGCTATTCTCTAAGATATCCTCCTCCTCTCCCTACTTCCCCTATTTATAACAACTTACCCCTGACTAATTACCATACCGCCCCTTTACTAACATACCCACAATATTCCCTATATACTCTTATTAGGACTCTCACAGACACCACCAAAAGGCTATCATCATAGGTACACTATTACAAAAAGAATTCCAAGACTTAGCCTCGTCCTTAGAGGAATGAAGGTTACTTTCCAACCAAATATTCCACAACAAAGCTCTGAAAGTGCATCTCCACAAAACTTTAGCCTTTCCTTTGAAATGCCACCCATGAAAGCATTCAAACATCCAGCTATCCACATTTCTGGGCACACAAACATATAAACCAAAACACTCGAACAAAAGCTGCCAACTCTTTACAGCGAAAGGGCAATGAAGGAACAAATGGTTCAGCGACTCCAGCTCCCCCAAACAAAGGCACCATAGAGACGGGTAAATGGACTACTTAAAGTTACCGTAATCAAGGAATTCATGTATGAAAAATGTTCTAGAACTATTTTTGTTAAGCCATACATAAAGTTACCATAACCAAGGAAGTAACCTAGATAATGCAGAGAGAGTGTAGATACAGACCTGCTCACACTCCTTTCGGGAAAAGCAGTATATTATCCCAGATTCATTGTTTGGATAAGATTCTTGTATAAATTCAGCTATTTTATCCATCACCACCTTACTAACGGATGACTTTTCTCGTACCTGCAGTACAATGACTGAATCATTTAAGTACAAATTTGCCATAGACTTCTTTTTTTTCTCTCTCTCTCTCTCTTTCACCAGGTATACCATGTAAAAGAGGTTCGGTCTGTTGACTGTACTGACAAATTTAACATATTTGGGGATGCGAAGCATCTCCACCAGATCATTTTGGACCCTCTGAGTGGCAGTTGCCTAAAAGAACATAACAAGATATTCAATTAACAATAGTTAGTGCAAAAGATTGAATACGTAAAATATGACTTTTTTCCAAGACGGGAGAATGATAACATACAGTTAAAGCAATAACAGGAGCATTTGGAAACTGAGTCTTCAGAATACCAAGATTCTTGTAGTCAGGTCGAAAGTCATGACCCCACTGACTACAGCAATGAGCCTCCTATAAATATAGACAATTAAGCTCAATAATTTCCTTTCTTGCATATCTTAGACATTTAGAAAACTCATTATTCATTGAAATGTGAGTACCAACTAATCAATGAGAAGATAATAATAAATGCATAAATATTCATGTTTTAAGAACTAATAAAAATTAACTCTAACCTAAAAGCTTGAGTTTTGGAAAATTTAACTTAGGTACTAAAGCAAGAAATTCCACTATTATGATTATGATCAGCAATACAGGCACAAAGCATATTTCTGAAAGAAAAGCTTTCAATCAATATGAATAGTGAATCCTTGGATATTGGGAATGGTAACCCGTATTTGAAATCTTGTAAATAATGAAGTGATGGGAACCCGTAGGCTTTTACAAAATTTATCACGTATCAAATTTTAAAGGGGAAAAAAGGAAACTGATGCATTAGTAACCATTGCATGAAGTTACAAAGACAGGGATTGAGAAAGATCTTTTGAAGTAATGTCACAAGGTGACGTAATGCCATCGTAACCATAGTAAGAAGTTTAGATAACACATGTTGATATAAATACTCACGTCAATTGCAATAAGAGAAAGACGTCCAGCATGATAGCACTTTTCAAGTTTTGACATAAATCTCTTGCTCTTTGATATCTTTTCTGGTGTGACATATAATATTTTTATATTTCCTTCACCCTTTTCGAGATTTTTATATATGAACTTCTCATCTTCTTTACTTGTTGCTGATGTAAGCATAGATGCTGGAATTCCTAAAGCAGCCAAACCCATAACCTGAAAAAAAAGGAGTACTCGATTAAAAGCAGTGATCATCTGTGAGGTCTCATTCTTTTGAATTGGAGTCCGTTTCTGTAAGGGACTCCTCTCGGGGTTGGTTTTTTGTAGGCCCCTTTGGTTTCTTTTGTTTCTCTTTTCATTCTTCTCAATGAAAGTATCGTTTCTTATCAAAAAATGCAGTGATTTTACTTCATCAAATTATTTCAAGAAGTGAAGTATGGATGTTCTTAATGAAACCCGTATCTGTGTTGTTCTTCCTAATTTTTTCTCCAAAATCAGTGGTTGAACCAATGTTTTGGATTTGGAAAATTAAAAACATCCAAAAATATTGATTTCTTCTAGATCAAACTGATCAAAACAGCCAAGATATTTTAAATTCCTAACATAATCACAACAGAAGAAATAGACACTTTTTAATCAAACTGACAGAAACGGCTCAGTATGGTCACTTTGGTCAATCTTTCAGTTTCTTTTTATTTTTATTTACAGCCACACCTCTACTTACATAACTTAAGTTCAAAATATGAACAAAATAACTCTGAGGTACCTGATCCTGAATCAAAGAGAGTAAAGGACTGACAACCAGTGCAAGTCCATCATATAGAAGAGCTGGTAGCTGGTAACAAAGACTCTTCCCACCTCCAGCAGCCATAATCACCAAAACATTTCGCCCACTCATGACAGCATTGATAATCTGCTATTATGTGATCGTTAGTAAATACACACACAAAATTGATAAAATAGCATCGCAATGACAACTTCAACAATTCAAACATATTTTCCTGAGTTCATTTACTGGTAAATATTTATAGAAATGAAAAATAGTGGAAAAATAACGGTGTTCTTCTAAATACGGAAAATCAAATAAATAATGTAGATAGGTTTGAATTGTTTCCAAAGTATAAAAACGATAGCTCACTGGTTAAGCATGCAATGTAAGTGGTTACCATGGTAGTCTATCAGATACTCGGCATTATATCAATTCATATATTACTCTATTGAGTTAAGCTACAGCTGACTTTTCTTTCTTCCCTTAGTCTTTTAAAGGTAAGTAAGCAACTCTATTTATGTTCAAGTGAAACTGTAGAACATACTTCACCAAATCAAACCTGCATTTAACAGGGAGAAATGAATAGAACTAGATGGCTTGCTCTATGTTCTCTTCTAAACTTTGATAATTTCTGGTCAACAAACTAAAAAAACACAGAAAGAAAATATATATGAGAGAAAAATTAAAAGAAAAAACTTACCTCTCGTTGATTTGCACGATATGTGGATATGCCAAAGATGTTCAACTTAACGTTGTCCGCTTCAGAATCCCATTTAAATGAACCAGACCAATTTTCTTGGCTCGTAGAAGTGCCTTTGCCATGGGTGTCGGAATCTTCTGTTTCTTTGCAGAGCTCTAACAAAGACTTCAACTCGGACTTTCTTTGGTACAAGTTGTCTTGGTGTTCCAGAAGTACATTTATTTCAGCTGCAGAAAGATAACGCCAAACATTAGGACACCCCAAAACAAAATTATATTAAAATCCATTGCGAATGGCTATAAAAATGTAAAGAACAATAAGTTCTATACTGGGATGTCATCAAAGTATAAGGCACGAAGTTTATAAAAAAATTCATAAATATACTGTTGAAGGTCATATCCATCCGGTCACCAATATGTTCTAAACCATCTCTCAAAAGAAAATGATAATCGGCTTTAGCAACGTGGGAGATTTTTACAGCTAACGAGACAATGACTACAAACAATGCTCCTTCGACCTACCCCCATGAAATCAACACCAACGTGGAAGTTTTAACAGACTGATTCGACCAAAACAATACACAAATTTTCAGTTCCTTTGAGCAGTTCCACCAGTACATGCAGATATTTTCTCGAACTTTAACTCCTTACTCAAGAAGTTGCCACGAGTTTGAAACACAAAAACGACAATGAAAACAATGAGGAATTTACGCATACATAATAAAGAATACTGGAAGACGTAAGGAAAGATGATGACTACTTAAGCACCTTGGACTTCATTTATCTGCACTTCTACGTTGAGAAGCTCCTCCAATACCTCTTCCGCGTTCATCGTTGATCACAAATAATATTTCAGCTTTTGAACGGAGACAATCAGAACAGAAAACATTGAGTCGGAATCATGTGAGGAGCTCAGTGGAGCGGAAAATGGGACAGATGATGGGAATGCAGGTCGAGACAGCAGAAACCATTGAATTCGAAGACGCCTGAAGACGAACCAGTGTTTGCAAAATTGACTAGGTTTTCAGTTCCAGTCCGGGATGAACTTGCAAGAGATTCCGCCGATCGCCTACACCGCAAATTTGCTGCCCTACCGTCGTCGCCTTCGCCCCTCCTAATCAAAAGTTATTAGGTAGCCAACTCCCCTCTTGTTTTTGTATTTTTTTTTTAACTAAAAATGATAAATCAAGAAACGCTTTTAACGTAATTAATATATTCGTGATCTAAAATTAATTAAGGAAATATTTGTTAGCTTTTGTCAAGGGAAACATGCCACTTTGAAATTCAAATTATTATTTTATAATGTAAGTTTTGATCCTTATAAAATTAATTTCTTCACTCTTTTTTTTTTTTACAATATTAAAGGGGAGGGATCGAACTCACAACCTTTATATTTGAAATATATATTAATTATTGTTGAGTTATGCTTGTTTTGACTTTTTTTTTCTTTTTTCTTGGGTGCTTATCAATCTAATTGGCACCGATTTATATTTATCAAATTTTTTAATTATGTAAAATCTTTAAAAGGTTGTTGTACATAATTTACACGGTTTAGGTGACATAATTGACAAAATTATATATTTACTCAATTCATTTCATTTAGTTAACAAAAACATAATCATGATGTTATATCAGCCCTAAATTGTGTACCTAATATATATTTTTTCCCTATTATTTGAGGGTTTTTTTTTTCAATTCAACTCCTATTTACAAAATTTTAATTTAGTGTTTTACATTTTAATATTTTTCTATCATATGTTTTATTAAAATTAATTGGTGATAAATTCATGTGGCACGATACAAGTTGCAATTTTTTAGATGATAAATTCAAGACGAAAAATCGATAGGTTTACAAAATTCTCAAAAGTTTAGAGAGAGATTAAAACTTTCATATCTTAATGTGGTCTAATTTATTATTTATATTTCAATATCGTATAATATGTTATTTTAGCATTTATCGTCAAGAATAATATATTAAATAAGATTAAATTGAAACTTTTTATACGTATATACTAAATATAAACCTTTTTTTAATTTTTATTGTTGGACTATAAATTAAATTCTCATAAATGTATACATTTAAATTTAAAATATCTCTATTGACTATTTTAAATTTTAAATTGCATTTTTTTATTTAGTCAATGTCATCAACATCATTAATAAATACTGAAAAAAATAAATTAAAGTTCAAGTGTCTGCGTAGTTATCAATTTGGACGTGGTTTAATGAATAAAATAGTTACCAAAAGTCTTCTTTAAATTGACAAAATTTAGTTATAGAAATATTTTATTTTATCTCTCAAACTTTCAAATATCTTACCTTTTTTTTTTTTTTACAAACAAATATTGTACCTTAACTTTCTAAAAATACATCGTTATTTATGAAATAAATATTGTTAATTTATGAAATAATTGAGGCAAGATGGTCATTGGTTTTGGGTCCATATCTGATACATAAATGTCCATTATTGTGTATTTTGTAAAATAATTTGCAATATATATCAGAATTGTACCATTTTTTGTAGTACAAGAATTTTATCATTTATGTAATAGAATTAATCACATAATAATTGGTCCTTTAAAAAAATACATAAATTGTCCTTTTTTTTGAAATAGAATTAATCACATAATAATTATGTACTAAAAAAAAAGAAATCACATAATAATTGGTCCTTGATTTATTAATGTCAACCACGATTTTAGCGTGCATTTATTATCAAATTATTTTATTAACTAAAAAATGATTCCTCTAATTTTCTTACCATCCCAGTTTTAGTTTTCCTTCTTCCAATGAGCTCGTTTTGAAAATATTTGAAATTTTTCTCACATATACAACCTATTCTACCAATAGTATTTTGTTCAAATGGCATATCGATATTATATCAGTTACATTTGTTAGTACAACATATGAGGTGAGATTTTGAACTCATGATATTTTGATCGGAGACAAGTGTCCTCCCCATTGAACTATACTTAACTTGTCATATATTCAAAACATTATTTATACATGTTACTCGTAAAATGAGCATGATTTTCAAAACTTTAGCTCTAAACAATAGATTTAATGTGTTTCTATTAGGAAAAAATATATATATATCCCGATAGACGAAATCAAACACGTGAGAATTTAGTCTGTATTATTTAAAAAGTTCATTTAATTGTTTATATAAGTATATCACAAAATTAGATAAGGTTAAAGTACGAGCGGATACTTAATGAATTTGAAATTTTTTAAATTACAAATTGAGATATTTAAGAGAGAGAAATAAAATTTATGTTAAGTTATTACAGACTTAGGAGTAAATTATAAACCTCTCTAAGTGACTTCAATATCATTCATCATGCCTTAATTTATTATCAGTCAATTTTAACACTCATCAATAATAATAAATAAATAAATAAAAGTCAACATGAGACATCTACTATTTCACTCGAGGTTGGAGGTTCGAACCATCGTACTTCATTTGTTGTATTAAAATTAAAATAATAAATGTTTTAAATACTATTTGGTTAATGTACTTTTATCTTTTTTATTTTGGTCCCCATATTTTGAAAACGTCAATTTTTGTCCATGTACTTCCAACTTCTGTCAATTTTAATATATATATTTTCGAATCGTCTGTTTTGGTCCCCATATTTTAAAAAAAGTGACTATTTTAGTACCTTGTTTTTACGTTTATTTCATTTTTTCCGATAAAATTTTTAGCAATAGCACTAAACTCAATACATTTATTGAAACATAGTTATAATCTTTATTAAATTGTTTTTGTTGTGTATAATTTATGTTAAAACTTTACAAATGTACAACAAAAATAACCACTTTAAAATTAAGTATCGTATCATATAACAATTTTATATTTATAGTTTATAAATATATTTGATCATTCGTTGATTTATCAATCTATATATATAAGAAATTTACAAAAAATAAAATTACGTTAAAGACTAAATCGTTATAAACTTTAAATTACAAAATCTAAATTGATACAAATTAAAGTTTGCAAATCAAATTGTTATAAATTTAATTTAAAATTTAGAGAGAAAAAATATTTTTTTAGTTACCAAATTGGCCACATTCAAAACGTTGGAAGATTTCAGTTTAAGCAATCGCAAGGTCGAAAGTGAATGATCAAAGAATCCGTAGTCGGTAGTCACTAGTCAGAATCCACCTAATTAATTCTCTTTTTTTACTTAAAGCTAAATTAAATATTTTAATTTCCAGAAGTGGCCAATGAAACATCGCAGCACGTGCCAAACAAGGGTGTGAATGATTTTTCTTTTTGTTTTATTTCGTATTACTTTTGACTCACGCTTCAAAATTTTAGTATTTCTAAATAGGAAATAATTAACTTTTAATTTTTCAACGATGACCGGGACAAATTTTCCTGGATAAAGAAGTAGATATTTTCCCTTTAAAATATATCTGTTTTACATGTATTCTTTCTTTGAACCTATTGAACTTTGAAACTTATATCTATTTAAGGTATAAATTTTTGAAAGTTATCATAGTTTTTTGAGCTTTTTATTTTGTTTATATTTTCTACTAGTTTAATGTTTTTTTTTTTTTATCATTCTGACTATATTATTCTTCGATTATATGGTAAGTTGATTTCAAATAAGTTTTCGTATTTGGTGGATAAATGTTAAGTCGACATGATTATTAGCAAAAATTTATTATATATAAATTTGAAAAATTAGATACTTATTAAAATATAGGAACAAAAGAGGTGAAAAGTCTATAAACCTATTAATTTTTTTTAAGTATATGGAGTTGATAGACACGACTTTACAAATTAAATTAGCAAACTTATAATTTAGCCTTAAGCTACATTAATTTGAAATATTCATATCCTATTGTATGATGATAGAAAACTAATAATATTTTTACTGTCAAATTTATCTTTCAAAACTACGTAATAGTGTATTTTTTTTATAATGCAACATTACAGATGCAAATTTGGAAATCAAACTATATTGATCCATACGGAAGATTTATAATGTATTGGTTATATTTTTGTTTTCTTAGTTAAAACAATACATGACAAGAGATCCAACCTTTACCTTTAAACTCCTAATTAACAACAAACAAATCTATCTGCGACATATTAAAAATGGCTCAAATTTAACACAAGTCAAATTTCTTCTACAAATTTTCAACAAAGGAGGTGAGAGGTGAGAAAGAACAAATAAAAGGCAGAGATTTGCTACATGATCCCAGTCTACATTCCACTACATTAAAAAATATTAATAACAAATTGATCATGTGGCAAATGTTGTTTATTTTAAATTTGATTGATCTTTCTCTCCAATTTTTTATTTACTTTCAATATTAGTTAATTGTAGTTTAAAAATATTCATTTTAATTCTTATACTTTTAAAATATTTATTTTAGTCATAATTTATAAAATCTTAACATAAATTATATAAAATGATTGCTAAATTTTAATAAATTCATCGAATATAATATTTCTAAAATTGTGATCGAAAAATGCGACAACAATCAAATGTTTCTCTTTAAAAATATTTAAATTAATGGGCTGAGCACCGCATTTCCGTTTTAAAATTTAGTCATTTTGGTCAAAGAAAAAGTCTATTCTCAATCTGACAAATTGATTGTATACGAAATTATTTTGTTAGTTCCAAAAAATATTATCACGTGTTAAATCGGATGCCAAGTTGCCAACTCCTTAAATAAAAAAATTAAAAAAAAAATCTATAACAATAAATATTGGATGCCAACAAAATGAAGGACTTCTATGTAAATTCCTTTACATAATATCTTACAATTTTCCCAAAGAAAAAACATCTCAACGGTAAATTTGAAATTATTTATCACTCTCGAGGCTCAGCCAATAACATCGTTGGATATACATTTATTTTCTCTCTCTATGTGCTATTATTAAATTTTAACAAATTTCTCACATCAATTTTTTTTTTTATCATTAACAAGTTGACTACTTTTTGTTTTTTTGTTTTTTTTTTGAGGCAAGTTGCCTAATTTTTGTTAATTCTATATATCAAGTTTCAAAATTAATAAAAGTCCTGTATAAACTCTAAATTGTGTTCTTTTTAACTTTTAAAATTGTGTTAGAGTGAGTTCCTTTAAATTTAATAAATTTATAAGTTTAAATATGTCTAACAAC